ACCATCATCATCGGCAGCATGACATCAGTGTTCAACACCGATGCTTTTGTAAGCCTTATTGTAAAGAGAAGAGTAAAGGTGGACATGGAAGTGGCTTAGTGTCAACTTATCACAATCATTCCGAGGTGCCTACAACTCCAGACATTCACTCGGGCAATCTGGATAGAGGCTGACCACAAGAGCGCGAATGACATTCGTGGGCAGCCATATTTTAGGTATATCCAACCAGGCACAGTGAGGTTCACGCGGGTCCCATTGTGCAAGGTGAGTAGCACCGACAGCACCCAAGCGTTTCCTGATCTACTTCATAATCCTCTGACAAGTCAAGGATGGCCACCTCTCTGTTTACGCCACTTTTAATTGGGTATGGAAAACAACACTCTCTTTGGCAAACGATGGTTCGGCATACGCAACACATCCCAACCGAAGCGGCTTCTGATGCTGGATACATACCGAAATGGAGGTACCTGTTGCACAACCAAAAATGTGCTCTATAACTGCCTCGTTACGGCTTCGCCGACAGCAACCCACACCAGCCATTGTTTTGAGACAACGATTGTCGAATACCCGAGTACGTCTCAGTTCCGTTGCTTGAATAGGCCAAGTCTCACAGCCATACAACTAAACGGCCTGTACTGTAGCTTGATGCACCCTTCCATTCATATCTAGGGATAAAACTTCCTGCTGTCAAAGATGTCTCAAATTAGCTCACGCGGCCCGCGCCTTGCAGATTAGTGCATTTGCCTCATCTGTCATACTGCATTGAGACCTAATACGAATTCCGCGATAAATAAAACGCTTCGCGACTTTCAGTAGATCTTCTTGGATTGTGAGTTGCGTGTTCAGTGACTGCGCGTCCATGAGCATGACCATTCACTTTGTACGGGCAAAGTGCATACCAAAAGCCAGGTCGACTTTTTTGAGTTCATCAAAGAATATTTGCGCCTTATCCTCTTCTTCGAAAATGAGAACGAATCCGTCTGCATATTCTATATCGACAAGCTTCTCCTCACAAGCTGTTTGAACACTAAAGTTTTGGGGGATCTCCGGCGTTCGTCTCATTCCTGGAGAAAGACTGCAATGACAGTGGGCTGGATGAGATAAATTAATTGTTCTCAGATATAGGTGAACAAACAGCTTACTGGCATAAGTAACTGTATCTTTTCGCCAATGGGGTATTCAACGAAAGCATGCGCGACGCAAAAAACTAAGTCAAACAGCATTAGGCGTTACCTCGAAATCAAAAGTTCCGTACGGTCTCTGGGGCGTGCGCGGGCAACTCAACGTCTCAACATAGCTATACATTGGCTTCCATCGGTTGAATTGAAGAGACTGGATCCTGTTATGCATTATATATGTTTGTATGGACACTACCCCATACTGGTTGAGTGTTTCTGGCCCGTTGGCCAGGAAAAATTTCTCGCCTCTCCTGAGAGAGGAGGAATTCTCGGCAGCAAGTCTGTGGCAAACATGATACTTCCACTTATCCTAAGAAAACATCAGGATGCTAAAACTAGTCACAAACGGTTTAGAAGCACTGATTTGGCACGCTGATCTATAGTTCCTTACCTGCACAGACGCACCAACCTGGGAACCTCTGGAGTGAGATTACACATTTTGCCAGCGGTATTTAAAAACGAAAGTATGAACATTTATCGATGAAGTATTATGCGCCCACAACCGCCTGCTGAATATCCATGACTCGTGGAAACGCACTGTCCAGACTGCTCCTCCTAAATAGTGCTTTGCTAAATACGTCTGGTTCAGCGGCAAAGGAAAAGGAATATTAGGCTGCCTATGGAAATGTTTCACAAACAATTATATAATGTAGTACTGTTGCCTTGCTTGGCCTGAAATTCGGGGTGATTTTCGAGTTGGACACTTTTTTTCAAAAAGTTCAATGCTAATGCAAAGTTAATCCTTATATGTTGGAATGCTTTTTCACAGGAACCGCAACCGTTACAATGGAAGGAAACATTTAAGAAAAGGATTTGAGGGAAAGGCCGATCCCCTCGTTTACCTGACAAATTTATGGACGAGTTTCCCGTCTTCGCATTTGAGATAGTGTAGCCTAAACGGCGATGGGACAATTAGAGTCATAAATCTTGACATGTCAGTTAAGCCTTTCATGTACATTAGTTACACAACCACATGGAGACTACGAAGCGTGCAGCTTGCACAAAGCGACCAACACCTTGTCGCAATAAACTTTAGCCAAACCAAATGATTTTTTGAGTACTCATTGAAAAAACGACTAACCTGTTCATCTTACCCCAGTTTCATGGTACTTGGGCTACTTTTTACCCACCCCGCCGTTGAAAATCTCTTCAACTCAACTCCGTGAATTGAGATCCTGATGACGCTCACTGTTACATTCGCTGTTGGTTTTTCCGTTTCAAGCTCCAATTCTGCACCGGAAGGTTTCAGCAAAATCTTATTGGCAATTGATTGTCTGGATTTGGGGTGTCCGACGTGGCAGCATGCTTAATATAGGGAGGCTTTATAGATGCTGTCTGATCACGGATATTCAAGCAAACACGCCTGTGTCCTGAAAACGCATTTTTGTTTAAATATTCCATTACACGTCCGGCCTAAAACGTTTAGGTCTTTATTAATAGCTGTTGTCAACCCAGTGCCGATGACATAAGTCGCTGATCGCGGAATGAACGCAGATCCTTGGAAATGTGGTTTTATCATCCAAGAACGCATGTTATACCCGGTTAAAATTTGTAAAGCCTTAAAATGTATAATTGCTGAAGGTTTTGAAGTGATTCTTGTTTTTTTTTCTTTTTAACTTGGCGTTAAATTTGAGGTACCGAATTTTGCATACTTAATATGTTGCGTTCCACACTTGCCTTCTTTCTTGGCTGCATGGGTTACGTGGAAACATACGGACAAGTGAAATGATATAATTTGCTATATTTTGGAAACAGTTTTGCCCAAATCTAGGAAAGTTTAGCTGGTGAAACCATACTTGCACTTCCCAGACACAAAATCTCAAAATAAATACTTTCATTTCTAGTACCTGCCAAGTTACAGATTATACCGGGTTCCAACTTGGTCACATAAACAAACATGGTTTTTTATCACATGAGCCTGTAGAAAGTCTCAACCCTTGATCTGGACATCGCTATTTGTGTTGCAGTCATTTGATGCACACAAATTCGAGGATAATTTGCAACCGTCACAAAAGGTGCATTAAATCAGGCTCAGCTTAGAAAAATGGAGCTTACACACGAGTCTACAATCGTGGCCGTATAAAAAGCGGTTGTTCGTTGGCAAAAAAATGACCATAAGATGCTCTATTTCAAAGTCGTTTCGACGTGTGGTCTGCTCCTCGGTCTATCGACTGTGAAAGGGAGTTTCCTCTTCGAAGTCTGTGGTGAGTTTTCAATAAACAATCGCATTATGCAGATTTTTTGTGGTAACACCTGGTTTATTAGTTTCTCTCCATTTGTATTAAACATTTTAGGACGGGGGCTAAATTTCACTGAACCCACCAAAAGTTGAATAACAAATCTTCATCTGAACCGACAGTCATTGATTAGGGCCGCCGGATGGAATATTATTTTTCCTCTAAGCATTCTATTTTTCAGAACTTAAGTTTTGAAGAAACCTTTTTGTAAGACAGAGTGCAGATCTCGTCAGATGTAGTAGGTCTATGTATGCAACTGAAACATGCGTCCTTTTCATGACAACCATTTCAGCGAAACTTCCGAGCAGGAATATCCGCACAAAGCCGGCTTCCGACAGCCTTCAGCCTACAACCCCAAACAGGGAACGCAGCTATCTGACTGAATTAGCTGTGACGGCCCTTGACTGCCTAAACCTAAGCTACAATTTTCAGCAAAAAAATACTGGTTTCCTAGACAGCGCACAAGTATCAAGTCCACAATTAGGTTCTTTCTCTCCACACATCGTTTGTTCGTGATTATGTTAAAACAAATTATGCTCCAGCGATCCATGTGAAGTTCGTAATGTGCTCCTCTTCCATTGCCCAAAGCAGTATTGCACTCTCACAAGGACAAATATGTTGTGGTAGCCCATAACATCCGAGCGCATGAAAAAAACTTTCAACACGACTAGCCTTCACTCTCACTGAGACGTTTTGCTGTTGTCAACCCAAGACCAATTTGGAATGACGACTGTCACCAACAAAGACTGATTTCCTAACATAAAAGTTTATGAGTAGTACATTACAAATCTACATGTATCGCGAAATTTCAAATATCGTTGCGACTGGAACATGAGGCGGCCTGGTGCAGCACCTTCAGTTGCCTGGGAACATCATACCCGAGAGATTCAGCTGGGTTCCAGGTGAGACAACCGAAAAAAGCCATATTAGTGTGCAGGTGGGTATATATTCGCTAAAGGTTATACATGTTCGTCTTGACAATCAGATTTACGCAGGTCCATCACACCTTCAGCAATCGATTTTCTGGTCGTTTTTCGCGTGCCCGCATTGTCCATTATGCAAGTGACATTGGGTTATAGTCCATTTGCTAGGTGATAGCTTCGAAGGCGAAGCAATGTCTGGGTCCGGTCGCTTCCCCAAGAAGGATGCCAGCTGTACGAACACAGAGATATTTATGCCACCGTTAGATGGCGTTAGCCATTTTCCCCTCTGATTCTGGCAAACCATCTATGCGGAACCGCTTCAACTGCAGCGGACATGTTCAGGATTGGATATGAAGCTTCCCGAATTTCGTGTCAGTTCGTCCGAAACTGAACCCCATTCGTTCGATCTTACTCTATAATTACATCCACTTATAGTTTGTTTGACGCTTTCGTTTGTGAGCTGTAATATATATACAGTGTTTTTATTGTTGACTTGTTGTATCGGATTATATATCTCTACATCCAGCTCGAAAAGATCGTTCATCGTTAGGAGAACTTCTATCTGGGTTTTATTTTGCTCATTTTTGGGTATGCATTTGCGTGGGCGATCAACTGTGCTGTACCGATATTTTTAATATCCCCTCTCTCCAAATTGCAAAGGCTCCGTGGACGTTTCCGTGATAAGACTGACACTTTCCCCATGCAATTCCGAACCTTGCATTCTTGTTCGGGGAAAAACAGTCCGGCTGGAAATTGAGTTTGCTGCACCTAGGTATTTAGTTCCTCCCAGGAATTCCTTTGAACATCCAACTCCAATGTTGGAGATATTGAAATAAACTAATATTCCATTCACTTTAGACGCGCTGAGTCCACTGTGGCAAATTCATTCATTTGGTTCACGAAACAGATTAGGAAATTAACCGGGGTGCCGAGAACCCAGAAAGGTTTGCATTTTCCACAACCCGTCATCGATCAGCTAAAATAATCTATGAAATTTATAAAACCGACAAAAACAAGACATTTTCGCGGAAAGCAATAAATTCATTTTCAATTCCCCTTTTGTCTCATTGACGTCTAAGGCTTGAGAGATGGAATCCCTTTCGTGCAAAATCTTTCCGGGAAACACAAACTAACCAGTTACGAGCTACTCAGCACGAAACTTACCCCCATTTTGCACTTGGAGTTTGAAAACATCGTTCTCACTGGCCATTAAAAAAACTTTCCTGGATAGCCCTTAGCCGTTACACAATAGAAACTGAATACATTAAAGTAGCTGTACAAGCGACGCAGTAAACGTTACATTCCATCAGGTGAGGAGGCAAAGCTCAGTCGCTGGACTGTAGGTCATTGGACTGCTTCATCACTAGTATGCACCAGTATATGTGTAAAAATGTGGTAATTTGAAACATAATGTCATCGGTTGCCACCAGGCATTAACCCATTTTTTTGCTTTCGTATGCATATTTCTACAAACATTCAGAGACGTCAGGGCTGAAATTCAGGAAATCCGGGGTTCATCTGGTCAGGGACCGCAGCTGATACAATTCCCCGAAGATGACATATGTGCTTACTGGTTTCCACCTTGCCCCATTAAAGCTAAGAAATTCTACGCTCTACTTTACAGACCCAGGGTGAACGTGAATAGTAAACCTGTAAATCGCAAGCAAAGTGTAACCATTTCGAACACCGATATATCTTTTACGCTTAGTGGAAAGCCCCCGTCGAGATGGTAAAGCTGTCCCGTTCTCCTCAGCAAGAGGGTTCACGTAGCCTACATTGCCGAAATCTTGACTGGACCACTAAGTAAATTATACTTTTCCAAATTGCTAGAAATCTGGAAACGAAAGTATTTCTGATAAGATAGATGCGCTCCTGCAAAGAATGCAAATATTTAGCAGCATATATTTGCTTATAAGTCGGGTGTTTGTGACCTTATTCGATTTTTTTTTCAATAACAACCAAAAACGTTAGTGAACCAACCAATCACCGGTTTAGGTACAACTGGCGGGTCCCCAGCCAGACAATTAGGATGCTACGTTCAGGCTTCTGAAGCATACGATTGATTGTAGAACAATAAAGTATTAAGATGATGCCAAGGCTTGAATAAAACTTCCAAGACATAAAATGATCAAATCTAACGCTCTTCGTACAGCTCACCCATTAGAAACTCCGGTTTATGGCGTGCTACCTCACTGACTCAGTTAAAGTAACACGGACAAAACTCTGAGTAGTGTCATTTGCCAATTCGGATACTTAAATTAAAACACTTTTTCATCGCATTACAGCCACACGGCAGAGAAATTTGTCCGGGCTAGCCAGGGAACTTTAGTGGTCGGCGTGAGAACTGGCGAGAAAACGCCGTGACATACCAAATGAGGTGTTTCAAGTATTCTGATGTACTATCGTTAGGTTTTGCTGTCTTCCAGGAGTTCGAACGGTGGACAACACTGCCAACTACGCCAGCGCATTTAATGAGTGCTCAATCTCCTCACTATTGACCATTGAAAGCATGTTGGAGGCCTGAGTATTGGTTTGCCCGCTCTCAATTGACCTGCCAGAAGATTAGCGCGGTAACGGAAAAACTCTTTTTTACTGTCGTCAGTTTGTGTGCGGCCTTTCTGGACTTCTATGTCCAAACAATTCGGTGAACCAAATCCAGATAACCTCGGGACAAATTCTGCACGTAATGACTGCGGCTACCTCCTGAAATCGGATCCACATAAATGGGGCACAGGTAACTTTCGAAACTTTCAAAACCTGCAAATTCGTTTGTAAAGTTATTCGTTTCACGCTGAAAAATTCAATAGGGTTTTGGATTGGCACATCATATGCGGACTTGCAAGACATGCTTGCACAACTGTCAACGAGATTTAGACTGAAAAGTATTTGAGCCAGAAAACAAACATTGTTTTTATAAGGATATCATAGAACTCAGCAAAGACGAACTCGTGAGTTACTACTTCAACTCTGTATGAAACTGGACAGATCCGGCTTTACTGATAGATTTCCGAGGCAATCCAACTTTTGCACAACAATTCACAATTCTCAGAGCTGGAGGCGTATTAGCGTCCTATAAACAGAGTTATCTCTGCAGATGTCGCGTTCCAAACTTCAGCTCATATTAGAATCCGCGTAGCCGTTCAGGTCTGTCTTTTAGAATTCTCATATCCAACCAGAGGGACAGAATGGCCGCCAGATTGTCCTTTGTGGTCTTTACTGGTCCTCCGTTTCCATCTATGATTAATTTAAATACTTAATCGTCCTTCCTGGACCCACATGTTGTTAACACTGGACGAAAAATGTAATTTTCTATCGGTGATCAGGTAGGATATTTGTTCAACATGGTAGCCTTCCCAGATTGCATTCCAAGTATCTCCGTAGAAGTACGGGCTTTCTAACCGCCCAGGCCAGCCAGTTGCTTTGGGAGTAGAGTCCAACCTACCAGAAACTTTGGCTAACTGACATATGAAACCCCGTTGACCATTCCGGAATTAGTGACCTAGATATGCGGCGCAGTAATTTGCAAATTCTCAGAACTGCCATTCGTTAATATTTGTCGATCTCTACTATTCGAATGAATGCATCTTCTCGCAGTTTCCTTTCAGTAACTTCGTGTTTTCCTTCGTGTCTTGCTGGATGTTCATTTCGGCAAGCGTACTTATGTTATACGCACCAACACCGGTGTGCTTGTTTGTGTGTTTATCCTCACCGTACGAGGTTCATGTGCATCGATATCCACGTCCAAATCGCATGAACGGCGTAGAACGTCATGGGGGCATTTTCGCTCCAGAATATACCCCTTCGAAAAACGTCGCGGAATTATTTTCTCTAATATTCTAACTCTGGATGCTTAGAAAAACAAGGAAACCAAATTACTCGTATGATGTGTGCTTTCGTAGGCCCTGTGTATAGCAATAAATATGATAAAGAACGGAAGAAAATTGCTAATAATACTCGCTTTGAAACACGGACGATTTAGCGTAGTAGAGACAAAAAGAACAAGTAAACGTACGGATTATCATGTAGGTTCTACATTACAAATCATCGTTGTCTCACAGGAACATGGAAATTCGTAGATTGACGCAAGCGTCACCAGCCTGCTTCACAGCGCGGGGAGTTTGCATTCTCAGAGGTTAGGTACTGGCTGGATGACTGACATCACAACTATCAGAGAACTGACTGCCGGTTGGGTTAAAGAAGTCGAACCTCTTGACATAGGTCTTTACAAGTGGTATATTATCACTCTAAATTCGGGCAAATCTTATTTAACCATTTTGTGTATCGACGCCGAGGCACTTAATTCCATTTTTGAGCCTATCATTAGAAAATCCACATGGAGTAACAGGCCGTTATTTGATAGCAATGAATAAATAAAAAAACAACAAAGTTACATTGTGGTGTTTTAAATACAAACCAGTGGTTACCTAAACGGAAGAAAAATGTGTTGGGTCTGAACAACAAAAGTTGATTGGGTGTAAAATTCTGTTATGTCTAAATATGTACTTAAAACTTGTCATCCTTGATCAGGTGCAGCGCAGGTTGATCGGACAAGTGCGAAAACGGGTTTGCTTGTGTTACGACCAACGCATTTCATTTTGCTGTCTAAAACTTCAAAGTATGTAGATAGAATATGGTTTAGTAATTAAGTTCCATATTGTAGCCTTGTCGTTTCGTAAATTTGTTCCCACAGCTTCTTCCCATCCACCAATGCAGTCTTTTATATAAAACCGTGCACCAAAACACACTGTTTCTATTGTTGCCCACAATTGATTAGAAAAAGGCGACCGTGAGATTCAAAGATTTCAAGTAAAGCCTGGGTCAGTTCCACAACGTAAATCCTTTCTGTTTATCATACGTGGCAGGGATTCAGACGCCGCCAACGTGTAGCCGTGCTTCGATGGGGGACTGTAGTAGCTGCTTCGGTGTGTCAGAGAGTTTGCGCCTGTGCGTGTCCGTTCGTCGTTCCACCACCGACCTGGCATGTGACTTGAGTGGCTGATTAGATGTTTGTCCGATTGGTTGGCTGGCGTGAGCGCTGTGGATTGACTGGATATGCTACTCAGATGTTTTGCTTGCCTGCCACGAAAGCGGACCAGTTTGGCCGCGTGTACTCAATACACCCGTGCCATACTTACGTGTTCTTCTGACTTACTGTGAACTGCAATACTGGCGAGGGTCTGGCGAACCCATCTTACGAAATATCTATCGGAAATATAGAAGAATTTACCGCTACTGGAGGTTCCCGGAGCCAATATGTGGAACGGGGACTTCTTACTTTCTTGCTAACGAGATCACCGACGACAAGCGGAAAGTGAAGGTACTTCTTACTACTTGTGGTTCGGCGACATACAATTTGACACGCAGCTTGATCTCTCCTGATTTACCAAATACGAAAACTTTTGACAACCCTGTGTTTATCGTTTCCAAGCATTACAATCCAAAACCCTCTGTTATCGCTCAGGGATTCAAGTTCCATACAAGGGTACAAGAAGAAGGAGAATCCATTGCGCATTTCGTAGGGCCATTACGGAGTCTTACGGAGCACTGTGACTAGGGAGATTTTCGGACCGTTTTGCTTAGAGATCGCTTGGTATTTGATGTGAGAAACGCCGCATACAACAGCGTTTACTTGCTGACAGTAACTTAACTTTGAAAATGGCCTACGATACTGCGTTGGCACTGTAAGCAGCAGAAAATAACGCAACCTTGTTACAATCTGTGCAACCTACCGTGACATCAGAATCGGTGGATTCATCGTATCAGGTGAATCGATTACAGCAACCATCGAATAGAACACAGTTTGAGCGTTATCGTTGTGGAGGCCGTCACAATCGCCCGAAGGATTTCCGGCACGCACAAAATTTTGCAATCACTGTGAGAAGCGAGGCCAACTCGCGAAAGTATGTCGCTCATCATCAGCGTTCGATACTCGGCGTTCACGTAGACTATTTTCTGATGACCGTGTGTACCATTGAGGAGCATTTAAAGTTGCTGAAACTGGCACTTGATCGTTTGAAGGAGTGTGGACTACGAATAAAGAAACAGAAGTGTGACTTCCTGGTAGATCATGTGGACTATTTGGGTTTTCACATCAGTGCGGATGGTTTGGCCCATCTAGCCGAGAAAATAGTCCAATATTAGAGGCACCGCAACCAAGGAATAAACATGAACTAAGATCTTTCTTGGGCATGGTTAATCACTATGCGAGGTTTATCCCGCAAGCTGC